CTCTGTGAGACCGACAAAATTCATTTACTTAAATACTCGGCCGTCGAGATCATGACCCTCAGGATACTACTGGATTACGATCCCGAGTCATGTAATTGGCACGCTATCCATGTATGTATTTTATTATAAATTAAGTGCTATAGTTAATTTTGATGTATTTTGTTTGTAAATATTCAATACAATAGAATAATGACCTATCAACTATAATTTATATGGAGTTATTAAAAGAGGGTAAACGAAATTATTATAAAAATTATAAGGACTTTCTCGATAAAATACTGCCAGAATGGGACTCCGATAATATAATTATTGATTTGGTATGTAATAGTAATTTTGTGCCATTTTTATTAAATCTAATTATGTATTTGAATTAATTTTTATATGAAGTTGACGGCTATTATCCTCTTTGATGCAAATCGACCTAAACTTTTGCACAGGGAGTCCGTTAAGTAAGTCATCTAGATTGAATTTATATTTATGTGATTATCAATATTACATATTACAACCCTTTTTAATATTATTAATATTTTATTATAGACTTCAACAGCAGTGTTATATGTATTTACTGCAGAGATATCTAAGGTTACGGTACCAATCGGACTGTGTATCGGACACCAAGTTTCTGAGGCTATTCCCTTTTTAATATTATTAATATTTTATTATAGACTTCAACAGCAGTGTTATATGTATTTACTGCAGAGATATCTAAGGTTACGGTACCAATCGGACTGTGTATCGGACACCAAGTTTCTGAGGCTATTGAATAGTCTACAAGATTTACATATAGTCAACGATAAAGTGGCCCAGAATTGGGTGGAACCCGACGCACAGGGAGTTCTGCCTCTACTCAAAGAAATTGGGAATCGAAACACTTATACTCTGCTATAAATTGATTAAAATTTTGTTTAAAAATAATATATTCTTTGATATTATTCGCAATCAATATTATAAATATATTATAAATTGTGAGTTAAACGGATCGCCAATGTGATAATATAATATATATTTTATTAATAAATTTGTTGTTTGATAATATTGCAATCAATTATCACAAAATCCTACTGAATTTGTATTGCATAAAGAAAGTACAAATAAAATTAAGTTTTATACAGTATATTTATTTAGTACTGATTAGCGTTTACGAGAAAATGGAGTTGAGACTTGGATTAACGAGTTATCATAAATAAGACAATAAGTTATGCAAAATTATATCATATTAATAACTACTTTAATTTAATAAACATATTTTTATTATAATTCATTAAGAAATTTATAACTTATTAAAAATCAGTTTAATAACAAGCTTAAACAGAAAAATTATTATTATTTTAATGTTGTGATTTTAACTAAATATTCTCAACCATTGTTTTAATAAAATGATGAACCTAATTTGCACCACAACTAATATGTGTGTTAGTTAATGTACCAAATGTATCAAGTACAGGTCAGATAAAAGTATAATTAAGAGATATATGTGCCCAAATTGCATATTTGTTTATTAAAATCAATATATTTTTTCTAAAAATATTTATAATTACTGGCTACTCCACTGATTATGCCAGCAATGAGATAAAGTTGAGTACATGATCTGCTTTTGAAGTCATATGACAGTAATTCTCGACTAGATATCAAACAATTTATTAGTTGTCTTAGGAACTGTTATTAATATCTATAATAAATGTCTGCCTGTATTACATAAAATTATTATGAATTAGTTTACAGTTAAAACATTTTTAAACCTAAAAATAGTTAAAAATTCTGGATATATACAGACGTTAAATACAATTATGACGGATAGAGAGACCAACAAAATTTGTCTGGTTTGTGGCGATAAAGCTATTGGTATGCATTTAAAATTACTTTTTTTACAGACACCATTACACTGTAGGGAATAAAATATACCTGGTTGTTATGACATTGAAAAATAAACCTACTTATTCTGATGAAATATTCTTGGCAATTACTAGAATACTTTATGCTTAACTATATATAAATTATAAAATACTTTTGAATAGACAAAGTTGACTTAAATAAAAAATATAATATAATAATGTGCTGGTATTATGTTTATAGTTATTGGTAAATTGAAATTTATTTAATTGAAATTATTTGTTTAATTATAGGCACAAATTTTAATGTAATTACATGCGAGTCGTGTAAAGTGTTATTCAGGAGGAATGCCCTACACTATGATGTAAACCATTGATATAATCTTAAATGATACGATTATTATTAACCCAATTGTATGGACTGAACAGAAATTCAAGTGTCAATTCGGAGATAATTGCAAAATAGATGTCTTGAGGCGACGATTCTGTAAGAAGTGTCGACTCAAGAAGTGCTTTGAAGTGGGCATGAAAAAGGTATTCCCAATGATTACAATCCCAATTCAATTCATGATAAATATGAACATAATGTGCTCCGGGATATCAAGGAATGGATACTGAATGAGGACGAGAGGAAAGTTAGGAAAATCAAAATCGAGGAAAACCGCAAAAAGCGAAAGAACTCCGAATTCACGCACTCCATGAGCGAGACGTCCCAGAGCTCCGACACCAACAGCTGCGACAACACGTTAGACATACTGAAGAAGTGCGAGGACCTGGAAATCGACAACGAGAGGCTGTCGCGAGAGATGTCCGAACTCGAGGAATACATACAAAACAAGGAGATCCTGGAGGTGTCGGACAGTGTCTTCTATAAGGCCGTCGAGTTTGAGTTCTCGCTCATCAACTCAATTGTCCGGCCGTTTGAGATGAACAACAAGTTTACGGACATTGAGGCCAACCGTATGGCAGAGCTGGTGAACGCCACCAAAGTTCTGGCCACCATTTTGCCCGACAAATACGTGTCGGACTACCAGAGAGGTGTCATCCATGAGTTCAAACAGAACCGGATTCCCAGTTCTATCAACGATATCACGAAACTTATGGCCATTCAGTTGGAGAATATGGCCATAAAGACGGTTCAGATGACTAAAGAATTGAGTAGTTTTGGTGTCCTCTGCGAGAGCGACAAACTGGTGCTCATAAAGCACGGGTCGGTAGATATCTGTGCTGTTAGGTCGGTGCTGGGCTTTAACTTTCAATACGAGTACTGGACTATTGCTTTGGTAAGGAATAGACTATTAATTCCTATTCATTAATATAGTAATTATGAATTTAATAAATTTAATTAAAACTATGAATAGGATAACGAAAACTCAGTGCTTCTGAATCTGGATCTATTGAAACAATACAAGAAGAATACGTATACGAGTCACAAGAACTTCTTGAGGAAGATTGAGTCCATTTGGGATTCAGACCCTATTATCATTGATTTGGTATATATTTGAGTTATTTCTCTAATTAATCCATTCATTCATATTTGAAAGTGACAACAGTTTTCATAAATATTATGCACTTATAGTTGACAGCAATCCTACTGTTCAACCCGGATAGGCCTAAACTTGTTCACAAAGAACTCGTTAAGTGAGTTAAAAGTTATTATAAATATTATCAAGGAAATATAATAAAAATACACATTTCATAGACTCCAACAACATATTTACATGTATTTACTTCAACGCTATTTGATATCGAAATATCGGGTCGAATGTGAGGCCAAATCCAAGTTCTTAAGGCTATTGAACTGTTTGACAGATTTGCCGATTTTGAACGAAACAGTGGCTCAGAATTGGTTAGAGTCTGATCCAGAGGTAGCCATGCCTTCCCACATCACAAATACTAGTGTATTCAATACGAACAGTCCACTCCAATAGATACCATTAAAATTTAATGATTCAAATATGTTTTCCTAAGTTATAATAAGACAAAAATTGTTTAAATAATTCATACACTATTCACGAAAATTGTTAGTCTATCTGATAAAGGTTTATATTAATAAATGAGATTTTCGTTTATGAGATACAATCATCTGAGATGTGATTTGTTTGTCTAATTAACTAAAAAATACTTTGTATTCTATAAATAAATATCATTATTTTTACAACACCTTGACAATTCATATAATTATTAATCACTTGTATTTTATTGTCTATTTTAAATATTTCTTTGTAAACTATTAAATAATGTTCAACGTTAATTATTTTATTAATAGTTATCATGTACAATGATTAATTTTACTTTCAAGATAATTTTAAAAAGTTTAAATAATTCATCAAATTTTAAACAAAATCTATTTTAAACCATTAATCAAATATTTGGTCCAATGATTGGTCATTGACTGCAATTTTGTCATTAGATATAAAGTGATAATTTAATGTCAATCCAAAAAATGAGAGGAAATGAGAGGACAGCCTAACTTATTAACGACAAAATAAATAGTCACTAACATTATTATCACTAAACAGAATATACAATACAGCGGTTTAGTTGTACCCAATGCCCATTAATTAAGCAATCACCAAATTATATATTGGAGTATGTGGTGAGCCTTGAAATTATATCAATTTTGACAATATGTTCATATAATGGACTAAAGTCTTAATGATTTAAGACTAAAAAGTTTTGCAAACTTGTTTGAATAGTTTGGGAAAAGTAATCAAGGGAGAAGTACGCAAACTCTAAAAAAGATTGCACCTTTCATATGAAATCGCTATTATATTATACATACAGTATTCATAAATAAATATTCTCTACTGTATTCAAGTGTATGTTATTCTCCATACATGAATTGAAGTGCAATTGTTTTCATATTTACTCTATACAACCAAATGACCAACCTAATAAATTTGATATTTTGTATTTAATTAGTAATATTTTGTGAAATAAATATATTTTCTTATGAATTGAATGATTTTTAAAAATTGATTTGTATTATAAGAGTTGCGAGTGGATTGGAAAAGTAAAAGTATTCGGAACCTATTATTGACAATCTCAAGGCTAGATGTATAGCTAATTACGAGGCCTTCATAACTGTATGAGAAGTTTAATACTAAGTTATGGTAATGTTTACCACAATCAGTGATATGTTTCTTAGATACCGATAAGAAAAGTGCTATAATATACATATCATACTACAGTATTATTACATTTATTATGAAGTGTTTCAAATACCGTATAAATTACTGATACAATCAGTTGAATATCGTAATATTAAAACAATTGTACAAAGCATTGGACATTATATTTGAAATTTGAGTGCAATTTAATGAGTATTTCATAACATTATGACGGATCAGGAATTCATCAAAAAGTGTTTGGTTTGCGGCGACAGAGCTATTGGTATGAAATGCTGTGATTTTTTTTGCTAATAATTATTTGCTTAATATATTACATATCATAGCCTCATATCCTTGTCTACCAAATCAGACCATTGTTTTCTGACATTTAATATCTGTTTCATAATATAAAAGTCATGATATTATATATTAGGGTAAATAACCAGAAGCGAGACCTATTTGCTAACAAAATGTATTTCCACTCATATGTAGGCAATAATTTTGATGCCCTTTCGTGCGAGTCATGTAAAGCCTTCTTCAGGAGGAATGCCGTCAAAAATAAAGTAATCAATAGATAAGACAATATGTGATACAGTATTTGAAATGTTGTCTAACCGTCCCTCTCGTATGACATTCACCAGGAATTGAAGTGTCATTTCGATGACAACTGCGAGATCGATGTCCTCACCCGACGCTTCTGCAAGAAGTGTCGCCTCAAGAAGTGTTACGCAATTGGGATGAAAAAAGTGATTACAATATAGTCCAGAATAAGACATTTGTCTCTAAGGCTAATATACATTGAATTTGTTTGTGTCTAAAGGATTGGATCCTTTCGAGTGACGAGAAGAAGGACGCCTTCACATTCTAGCTCTACTTATTCTTCGCGGCCTTCTTATCACACCACAGATTAGTCCTGAGCTGGAGGAGTTCCCAATCGTGTAGTAGTGGTTCGCCCGAAAGTGCTGATAATCAGGATAATGTGGACACTCTTGACCTGAATGGTATCGAACCGCTCGAAATCCCTGACACTTTCGATATACCGGATCTGGACATCGATATCGACGAAATCAATACACAGATAATGGAAATCGAGAAATATATCAAAGACGAGGACGTCGTCGATGGCGCTGAGGAGGACTCGGACGAGATCTCAGACGTGGTCTACCAGAAGGCGGCTGAACTCGAGTTCACGGTATTACCGATCGCCCGACCCATGGGTGATAAATATCAGTTGAATGAGATGGAGAGCTATAAACTGTCGGAGCTGTTTAACGCCACCACCTTTTTTAAGGAGCAGATAGTACCCATCACCTCACAGGCCATGCATTATGAAGACATGTGTAGTCTGTTGTGTAAGAAAGCAGAGGAGCAGACCCGACGTGTGATAAAGATGTCCAAACATTTGACGTCTTTTAATGATATCAACGAAGACGACAAGATCTCACTCATTAAGTTCGGGGCAATGGATCTGTTTTGCATGCGGTCTGTCCCTCACTATGACTATACGAATAAGACCTGGGTCTATACCATGGTTTGTACTGATTTACTAATTACTACCGTATAACTACGGTATAACTACCGTACATTAGTAGAGGATTTAATATAATTTATTTAATTTGTTTGCAGAATAATTCAAATTCTGTTGTATTGAGCATAGAGTTGATGCGAAACTGTCCCCGAGATATATACTCGTATTACAAGAAATTTTTAGACTTTTATCCGTTTCTCAAACTTAGCCTAGGTCACCAAGAGCTAAACCATAAATTGTCAAAAGAACTATTAGATATAAATACTGATTATAAACAGAAAATTACATATTAGGTCAATTGCCGTTATTGCGTATTCAACCCGGATCGTCCCAGACTTACAAACAGGGAGTTTGTTAAGTGAGTACAATCAGCGAGATTAGATAATCGCCATATTTGTGTCAAAGTTTATGTAATAATTGATATTTTTATGACATTTATAGACTCCAGCAAAACATATACATGTATTTATTGCAACGATATTTACTATTAAGATATCGATCGGAATCGCAATCAAAATTGAAATTTCTAAGGCTTTTGAACACTTTGGTTGATTTGAATGCTTTGCCTGTATGTATAGCATGTTTAACGTGACTCTTTCTGGGACTACGACACAGTGGTAAGTACGCTCTCTAGAAACTTTAGTTTTGTTTACGGCTCTAACTATTATTGCATGGGTAATTATTGTTATTATACAATATACTCATCTATTGATTTACATATAATTTTCTAAACAAATACTGTAAATGTTTAATTTTGAAAGTAAAATATTTTTATGTTAACCAAGCTAGAATTTATCTATTATTTTTTTTATGAATTACTGATTAATTACAGTATTTATATGTCATTTAATACTCTTATGAAATATCCTAAAACTTGATGAAATGAAAAACAAATGAAATCTAAAATATAGGTATTTTGAAAATAAAAAGATAAAGAGCTTATTAGTTGTATAAATTGATATTTAATTCAAGTAGTGGATAAGTATGAAATTGTATAAAGTGTTTAATGGACAAATTGATTAAAACAATTAGAGTATTGCTACTATACTTGAAAATAGTAAAAGTGATTGATACATTTATGTATAGTTATGTATAGTGAACTATTTATCTTAAACTTTTGATACTCGATTTAATCGATCACATGACCAATATAAACACAATTAAATTATGCTTTTATAAATGTAATAATATTGAAAAATAAAATAATTTTTATTCGTAGTGATGAGACAACAAATGATTGAATCTATTAGTCTAACAGAAATGAAATGTCATTTCTATATAAAAATCATAGCTATTGTAGTATAAATTTGTGATTTCCTACTAAATGACATATTTATACAATCAATAAGTTTGTGATTTAAGACAGAATAAACAAAACACATGTTATAATAAATATGAGCAATAATTAAATATGGATTCAGGGACGTTTAGTCCAATGTAACTGTTTGCATTCAATTCGTATCTTTATGTGATAATTCAATTCATGTCTCGTGAGCCGAGTCTTCGTTGGATCCCTCGTAGCCCTTATCATGTGTTTGGGTCCTTTGCGACGATATGACTGCTCCCGGAGCCGATGCTATGGTCGGGCGTCCGGACTCCGAGTCGGTCGACGACATGACGCTCTCTTCGCCCGCATTCAACGTTTTTCTTATGTCTTTCAGTTCTCCCATCACTTCTGTCATCATTTGTCTAATAATAAAAATTGATCAAGATCATAAATAGATACCACTAAATATTAATCAGTTAATTGTAAAAATAAAGTTAAAATATAAATAATATCTAACAATGCAAGAACGGGAAGTGATCACGCTAATTGCAATTAAAACCGAGTGAATTATACTCGTATGGTATGCTATAATAGGACTGTCCAGGTCCGGTAATCTAGCGGAATGTCCTTGGTGTCCAAATCGGTGATTATATC